CGGTGAATCCTGACAAATCCCTAGCGAATTTCTAGGAATCCAGATGGGAACCCCTAGGGGTCGATTGAGCATCTTATCTTTAAATGTTTAAGGAGCCTTTCGGAATCCCAAGGGGATCCTTAGGAATCCCGATTGAATCTTTAGGTATCCCCATTGAATCCCTAGGGCCCCGCAAGGGATCCCTAGGAATCCGCTGGGGATCCTCAGGGATCCCGAGGGAGTCCTCCGGAATCTGAAGGGAATCCTTAAGCATCCATCGGGGATCCTTCGGAATCTTCAGGGAGCTTTGAGGACTCTTCAGGGAGTCGCTAAGATTCCCAAGGGAATCCTCGGGAATCCGAGGGAATCCTTTGGACTCCTGAGGGAATCCTTAGGACTCCTTCGGGGATGCTTAGGAATCTCTCGGGGATCCTTAGGCATCCCTTGGGAATCCCCAGGAATCCCACGCCCTCATTGCCGCCCGCCCAGCCGATGCGAATCGACGTTGCGCGCCACCCCCAGTTCAAATTCACCCTCCATGCTCAAGCAGCAGAGCCGCGCACGCCAGGAAACATAAGTTTAAGCTTTTACTCTTCGTCGGCAATTTCAAGGTTGCCTTATAATCTCAGGCCCCAGGCCGGCTCCAGAATAGCATTATTGAGTTTAGTCTCGTTTCAGAACGCATTGGGATTCTTAGGTAATCCCAGGGCAACCTTGGAATTATCCGACAAACCATAGAAGAAGTAGCTAATCGAGAAGGTTGAACAGTCTTCAGCGCCGCGCCATGCGACCCCCTCGCGTCGCGAGCAAAAACGCAATCGGGAGGTGTCGGGGCAATTTTTGGCTCGAGGCTCACTCCTCAAGGACGATGCATCCGGAGTCATTATTTTCGACTACCAAAACTTCCGATTATCTTCCACACGTACATATGACGTCTTCTTGTCTTTCACCGCGATGGCGGCAGGTGCGACTGCAGCGAACACAGCGTCTGCCAGTTCTCTCATCGCGCCAACTCGCCCGCGCACGATGCAAGCCGGGGCGCCTTTGGGAGGGGGGCGCAATTGACGTCAGCGATTTCATAGTCCTCCGCAGGCAATGGACTGCCTCAATGATGCTTCGCCACCTCGTCCTGAAGCGCATCCCATGGCATTGCCTAGCGCTCCGGATCGCGACAATTTCGTGCTCGAGAGAGAAGGTCACAGAGTTTGTGGGCGAAAAGCTGACGGGGGAGCTCAGCCCGATCACAAACGCAACGCAGGTGTTGCATGCATATTAGAAGACGCTACGTGACTCATCCGAGGCACAGCATGTATAAATTGAATCATTGGCGCCATATGCGAAGAAGCCATAGCAAGACATGAAGATGGGGGCATAGCAGTTTGAGGGGCCACGTTAATGCAGTAATGTCTTCTTCGGGCGCGCCTGCTCCACCTCCGCGCTCTCCAGGCCGCGGCGTAGACCGCGCGGCGGTCTTCGTCGGGGGCCGCGGCAGTTTCCACGACAAAGACGATGCATAACATTGCGTCCTGGATAAGATTTGGGCGGCATATATCCCAGCACCTTTGGAGACGCATGAAGCGGGAGAAGAGTCTCAATGGGGGGCCGCTTAGAACGCATGCCCCTCCCGAGGAAGCACGGGCTGTCATCGGCGAGATGGAGAACGCAGATGCGAACCAGAAATGCACGAATATTTACGCTAATCTGGACTTCCCTTCGGAGACAAGGGCGCTGCGATCTGCATTTCATGGCGGCAGACAGCCGTCGGCGAACGCAGGGCTGGATCAGAGAGGGTTGATGGGTTGATTTCGGTTGCCTCGCTCTACTTTGCGACGCCGAGTTCGCTTTAACAGCGAACGTCGACGAGTCGAGGCTCGTCGCGAAGGTCGATGCTGGATGGGCCAGGCATTTGGAGAACGACGGATTCAAGAAAGACCGCAACGCCCTCGACGGGATACTGACTCGCCGCAAGGCACCAACAAGTGGGCTGGGAAAGGGCAAGGATCCACGCCCAGAGTAGGAAATACCTCCGTCGAGCCCTGCGTCTCGCCCGCCGATGGAGGCGAGGATTGCCCGCGATTGTGCGCGCGCCCGCGCCGGCGCGAGACCCGGTGGACACGCCGACTGAGTTGCGCGGTCCGTTTGGAGATCTTGCGCGCATTAGTGAGACGAGGGCCATTTCTGCAGATGACGTTCCCCATGCCAGACATCGGCTTTCCACTCGTCGCGGCGAAGCCGACGGCGGCGCGGGCATCCCAATTTTTCGAACGGTGGGCAGGCCAATTAATTCAACGCAGAACTTCGGAGATAGAGTTGCTGGGCTTCGCCCGATTATGGAAGGAGTCAGAATCACAGTAATTTCGCGTTCTCTGACAGGCGCTGGGCACAGCGCAGCAGCACCTAACGAGACATGCCGTCATCTTGGCGAAGCAGCGCGTTGGGCATCGATGTTCAGCTGTGTTTGTCCCAGGCGGGGACTTCAACGCGCGGCTGCATCGCGGGGCGTGCTCTTACAAACTATTGCATGTCATTGGTCTTCCAAATTACATATTGCCAGCGAAGCACAATTAGATAGCGCGACGCATGCCTACGCAATTTGACGTTAATATTGCCGGCCCGCTGGCAACAGGTGGTGGGTCGTAGAAGCAGCTGCAAAGAAGGATTTCGATTTCGGTTCCGATCGCAGAGCGGCGAGGGCAGCTCCCTTCCGGAATGGGCGCCCTGGGCGACGCGGCCGGGGCGGGGGGAGGGAGCCCAAGCAATGAGTTCCTAAACCAACGCCGCAATTTCGATCGTTGATGGCCGAGGTGCTGGACCAGGAGTGTCCTGGGGTTGTGGAGCAAATCGAGAACGTGACCACGACGTCTGCTCCGCGCCGCGGGGCCACTGCTCCGGCCCCGGATCGCAGCGGGAAAGGCGCGTCGTTGACCCGGCTCTGACGCGAACGAAAGTCGCGCAGAGACAGAGCAAGACGCAGCCAGCTCTCCATGGACATCCAGAAAGAAGCACGGAAGATGACGCGGCGGCTCCAGACGGAGAAATCGGAAGGCATCTCACAGTTTCCGCGGCATCTCGGAGGTCGGCTCGCCGCGTCGACGCCCATTTGAGCCGGCAAGCAAACCGCTGGGACTAAAGCAGGTTCCCATGGAATAGTCTAACAGCGACGCTGGCTGCTCAGAATTCTCTAAAGAGTCCATTGGCATAATCCCTGAACCCCGCCCAAGGGAACTACATGGTGGCGCCCAGAGGATGGCCAGAGGAAGATGCAAGGATAAAGTTTGAATTCCGATCGAGATGACTGCAGGCGCAGGCCCGGACCTGCCGCAGCACTTGACCACAGCCTTCAACAAGATCCTAAGATAAGGCCAGATACCTCATGACTGGCACTTCACGTTCATCACGCTGCTCCCAAAAACAGGTGATCCGACAGATCCGGCGAATCGACGCCCGATTGCGATTTCACGTGCGTTGCACATGCTGTTCGCGAAGATACTGCGCGGTCGGCTTAGGCAAAGCTTGCCAGAGCAGCGGGCGGGCGAAGGCAAGGGCTTCATGCCGGACGGGGGCGCGGATGATGCTTCATCCATCTTGGAGACTGCGTTCGCAAGGTCGATCGAAGTCAACGCGCCGCTGTTTTCCGCGAGCCTGTATTTAAAAGACGGCATCCGCAGCTCGTCGAAGCTCTTGGGGCACAGGGTCAACCTCAGCCATGCCTCGCGCCCCCGGCAGAGATGCACGGCGGCCAAAAGGGCGAGCTGAAGAACCAGCGTCTATCCGGTATCTGGCGGGATGTTCGACAAGATGACGTTCTGACTCCATTGTTCTTTAACGTGGCTCTGGACCACGTCGTGAGAAGATGGCCACGTCGTCTGAGCGCTCGCGGCATCAAGATCGATCCCAGTCTATCCGGTCGTCGCGTCACTCGCGCTGGGTTCGCCGATGATCGCATCGCACGCGCCACCAGCCTGAACGAAGCGACGTTGATGTTAGAGTCTATCGCCGAAGAGCTTCGCCGGGTCGGCTTAGAGCTGAATGCGCAGAAACGGAATACTCTTTTTGCACAGCGACTTCGTCCAAGGTGGTTGACCAATGTTTGTCGACGCAGCCGGCAGTCTCATTGAGGTCTAGGAGAAGCCGATTTCCACGTGTGCCTCGGCAACAAGTGTCCGGGCAACCTGATGACCAAGGGGAAGTCGATGTTGGCAAACTGGTTGCGTTGCGCATGGGTGAAGTACCACGAGTTCCAGTCTGCTCTTGCCAGCCAGCAAGTGGGTATGTTTCCTAGATTCCGCCTCTTTGACACCCGTTGCGCTGCATGGTCTCGCGGCAGCTCCCCTCGCTGCTGCCAACTTCGACACCTTCGCTTCCGCGCAGGGACATGATGAGATGCATGGCTGGTTTCGTTAAGCGCGACATAGATGAATGATCAGACAGGCGCGTTCGAGACAAAATGCAACAAACCATACAGCGTCGACCTATTCGCTGACGGGCAGATGAGATGAGCAAGTTGAATCAACAACTACAACCCAAGCTGCAATGCCCTCGCCAGAACGACCCCGTGCACATGGTTGCCAGGTGGAGCCCCAGCGATGTCGCCGATTCGAAGCTGCCTGCGAGGCCGAAGCGTTCCACAGGCAGGCCATGTGCGTCTTGGGACCGCTTCTAATTAACAATTTCCCAACCGACTCCAATGTTGGACCAGGCCTGGTGCTCGATCGGGGCTTGCGCGTGCGCGTGGGCCTCACTGGGCCCCCGGGTTAATTATCAGCAAATGGTTTTGGATGAAGAAGCGACCCCTGGTACGTAACGGGTTGAGATCCCCCAGGGCCCGCGTTGCGAAAAAAACGCTGTGCGGAGAGCCGGGGAGGAGGGCGGTGGCAGGGGATGCGGAAGGCCGCTGCACAGGACCAGAGGGGGGGGGCAAGATATTGCGAGTGTCGAGCGGCGGGGTGCCGGAGTGGCAGTCGCAGCGCAGCGAGGGTATCTTTTTGAGGGTGCGCGTGCTTCTTGCTCCTGCCCGGGAGGTGGCGAACAAGCAGGTGCCCACGCAGGGCCAGAAGGATCGGGGAGCCTTGGTGCGCCATGTGGCTGAGAAACTTCTGGGGCCCTGGTAGGGCCGCTGGCGATCGGATTCGATGCGAGTCGATTCGCCGGTTGGGGCCGCGATGCCGTCCACCGGCATCGGTGGAGCCCAGCCGCAGCCGGCCGCGGCGATCAGATTTCGCTTCGATTTGGAGAGTTCGTTGGCGGCCCGATCTGATCCGATTTCGCGATTCGAGGCAGCTCAGGCCTGCCAGCGGGAGGATGGTGGGGGGGAGCAGGTTGGGGAACAGCAGCAGATGCAGACGCAGCCCCTGCTGGCGTCGTCGAGTGAAGTTATAATTAAATAGATGCAGGAAGGGCTTTGCACCGTTGGGGGGACGGTGGTGGAGGAGGAGGAGGAGGAAAAGTTACGAGGGGGGGAGGAGGGGGGGGGGAGGAAGGGAGTAGGGGGAAGGGAAGGAGGGGAGGAGGAGGGAGGAGGAAAGGTGGAGGAGGGAAGGAGGGAGGAGGAAAGGAGGAGGAGGGGAGGAGGGGGGCAGGGAAGAAACGGGGGGAGGAGGGAGGGCGGGGTGTGAGGAGAGGGAGAGACAGAGCGAGGCTGGGAAAGGGGGAGGAAAGGGAGGGGAACGGGCAGAGGGAGGAAGGCGGGAGGAGGGCCCTGCCTGGCCAGAGGACGCCATCCAGCAGGGCCAGAAGGTGCTCACCATGCTGAAGAAACAGGCTTGGTATCGCTCGGACGTGTGCACTTTTTCTCGGCGGGGATCATTGATTAGCATCCTGGATCATCCTGCGAAAAAGCCACGCACGAAACTGAAAAAAACACAGGGAATGGACGTCCGAGCGATGGCCAGCAGGCGAAGCGGAGCTACAAGAAGGCCCGCGCCGTGAAGGCCGCGGAGCTGGCCGAGCTGAACGAGGCGATCGGGAGCATCGAGAAGGTCGACTAGACGTAAGAGTGACCTTTCGCTGGAGTGACCTTTGGTGCGGGCCCCTATGGGGTCCCCCGAACGCTGAGCGCGAAGCGGTAGCAGCGGCTTGCGCGCCCCGGTTTGGTCACCCATTAAGCCGCGCACCAAAGGTCATTCTTGCCTAGGGTCTCTTTTGCGTGTAGCTGAAAAGGGCGACGTGAAGGCGCTGTCGAAGCTGATGGCGAAGATGCAGCACGAGACCAAGCAGCTCAGCGCAAAGTCCAAGAACTTCCTGTACTGAGATCGGAGGAGGGCGGGTTGAGGCAAGTGTAAGTGATTGGCCTTCGGGATGTGGCCATCGTCGCCACGGTTAGGCGCAGTTCGGAAAATCGGTGCGTTTGATCCCGAGGAGGTGTCCAGGGGCCAATGTTTAACTGCCGTTGTCTCAGCTCGCCCAGCGCATGCCGTGACGCCCCCGAGGCCCTCGAGGTACTCCCGCCGACGGTGCGCAGGCATCTCGCGGCGCATGCTGGCAGCGCTTGAGCTCAGTGCGCAGGCGCGTGCTCAGAGCTTCGTGGCGCTCTCGCCTACAGGAGAGCGCCCACGCCCCCAGCGCTCGAGTTCAGTGCGCAGGCATCATGTGGACGCCAGCTCAGCCATTGCCGCAGGTTGAAGTCAAACCCGGCCATGGTGACGTATCGTCAGACACCTACGTATGTTGTGTCCTTTTCCCTCCTTGGCAGCTGGGTGCGCCTAGCAGGGGATGCCGCAGGGACGGCTCGACAGATGTGACCATCAGGAAGGCCGAGGACTTGGATACGTAAGTCGCTCCCGGGCGTTTCGGAACGCTCTCAGAGCGTTCTGGAATTTTCTGGAACGGCCGCTGCGCCCGAGACGTTGTCAAACCTGCTGGCTCTCAGAGATCCCCGACTTACAATCGCCATCATTCATCTTCATCCTGCCTCCGTCTTCCATCAGCTCAGCTCTACACCAAGGCTGGACCTAAACGGTGTTTTGGCGATTTCGTGGGCCGTGTTCGTTTCGATTTCGTTTTGCGGTAAAGGCGAATCGAAGACAAAGCGAGGGAAAACGAAAACAAAACGAAAAACACCGTTTATGTTCAGCTCAGCTCCGCTTCGCGGCTCAGCGTGGCCAGCCCCTCGTTTTCGGCACGCCGCTGCACCGCCACGGTTGTTGCCACCGTCTCGTGGGATGGAGCAGCAGAGGGCAGCGGCAGCGGCAGCACGTGAAGGGGAAGACTAGGATGCGGGCGAGCCGTTGGCAACGGCGCTGCCTTGAGTTGACTAGTGCTACTTGTCCTTCTCGATGGGGGAGGGAGGGCGGGAGCGAGGATCAGGGGCAACGTAAGGGGGGGGGTCAGGCTCAGGGCGGGATACATCGACCCCCCACCGCTTATTGATAGCCAATAGGGCCCCGACAGCCCACCCTGCCCAAGAACGTGCGGCTTCGCAATCGAGGGCCTCTCGCCGATCTATCGGCGATGTATCGCCGATTCAATCTCGATGGTCCACCCTGTGAGCCGGTCCCCCCCCTAACGTTCATCATCAAGGAAGAGAGGCGACGAGGAGTTCACCCACTTCTCCACCCGCTGAAATGCACTGTCTGTCACAGGATGGGCTTCTAACATCAGCGGCTCCAGTTGTGCAAAGGCGAGGTCAAAGCGCATTATCGCGCTGCTCAGAAACTCATAATAAAATGTATGAATATATCGGTTGTTGCGCTTCCTTGCGACGAGGAGGAGGGGTACCACCACCGCCACTGCCGCCTCTTCCTGTTCTTATTATTCGTCATCACTCTCCATTCTTCCTCAGTCAACCCCGCCTCCTCCTCCTGCTCCTCCTGATTATCATCATTCTCTTCCCCCCAGTCTCCTTTCCCTTTTCCCTCTCTCCCCGTCAGCCTGCCCTCTCCTCTGTGTGTCCTCCTCTCCCTTCTCCTGCTCCTCTTCTTCCTCCTGTCTTTCTCCTCCCTCAATTGCTGTCAGTCCAGGTCGACTGAAGCTCCTTACTCTTCTCCTCCTCTCCTCCCTGATCATTCTCCTTCTCCCTCATTCTCGTCCTTTTCCTTCCTGATCATCCTCCTTCCTTGTCTTCATCCCTCTCCCTCTTCCTCACCCTCCTCCCCCTCCCCTCCTTCTCCTCCTTCTCCTTCTCCTCCTCCTCCTCCTCCCTTGTTCTCTCTCCTCCTCCTCCTCCTCCTCCTCCTCCTCCTCCTCCTCCTCCTGCTGCTGCTCCTCCTCCAGTAAGTTGTTACATATCTCTCTCGGGGCCCTCTAGAGACCTCTGGAGCTCCGGTAGATTTGCAGCACGGATTTGCCGCGAGAGCCTTGTACCAACGACGTTTGGCTCAAGACGCGTCAGAGTTGTGTACTGTTTGACTGTTCCATCCGAGACGGAAGGCATCCATCGCTGCGGGGAGAAGAGAGAGTCTATCACGTGCCATTGCACGTGGCAGCGGAGCACATCGCTCCCCTCCCGCCGCCAGGCGACACCTCTGCAAGTTCCCGACCTTCCTCGACACCAAGGCTGCGGGCTTCAACTGCCTCGACAACCTCACGTGCAGGAGCGGCGACTTCGACAGACAATTAGATTGGACTTCAGTTTTGGGCATCAACTTCTGACAATATGTTCGGCGGAAAAGGCGCAGGACATGGGCAGCCCCCAGTGCAGTATGGCGGACGACAGCGGTTTGCTCCTGGACAGGCTCAGCCCGACATGGCGAATACGAAGACACCCCCTTCATGGACACCGGAGCTTGAGTCGAGCTACCCGCTGTGGGTCTACGTTCAGGACTTGATCTTGTGGAGCGCAGCCACCGAGGTGCCTGTGGCTCGACAAGGGCCAGCAGCAGCTCTACAACTCGGAGGCATGGCGAGAGTCCTGGGCAGAGAGATGAGTGTGGACGAATTGGCAAACGGACGGCAAGAATGGGATTACGCACAGCAGCAAATGGTACAAGTGACGGGCATCACGATATTACTACGGAACCTCCTTCGACGTTTCGGCGAGCTCGATGAAGAACAAGGTATCCGGCTTCTCTCACAGTTGTTGGGATTTACACGAGTTCAGGGCGAGACGATTGATCAGGCGCTGTCACGATTCGATATTACGGTATATAGGGCGACGAACCTTCTACATGACTTCGCAGTGGCACTTCAAGGACTGGCGTGGATACTGTTACGGGCTCTGAAGGTGGCGCCGGTCATGTGGTCTCAGCTCCTGATCCCCCTGAACGGCCAGCTCCCGACGACGGACGATCAGCTGAACATTCTCAAGCGACATATTCGACAACAAGCACATATTTTGGAACATCATCCACATGGCGTATTACAGAACTCATCACATCCTGGACAGCAGGCACATCTGAGTTATTTCGGAGAAGTAGGACCGCCACAGGCCGCGACGGCCTGGGGCGACGGCGCAGCTGCAGCAGCAGCAGCAGCGCCACAAGCAACATTCCAGACGATTGACCCGTACACGAACACCCCGGACGAGCACTACGCCTATGAGGATTTCTTCGGTGACAGCGATACGGAGTCAGACGATGATTATCACGACCCAGAGTGTACGGACGAGGCGATAGAAGCGTATGCATCGAGTCTCCTTCCCCCTGGAGTGCCGGCGAACAGGACGAACATCGCCGCGGTCTTGTACGAGACGTACCTCAACATCAAGAAGCGCTACAGAGCCTACACGAAGAAGACGACCAAGTTCAGGAGATTCAACCGGCGCAACTATGGACGACGATCGGGACAAGGGAAGGGAGGATTTCGGCGACAGTTTGGCAGGCCAGGCCACGCCCCAGTTGAAATGGCGGACCCCACGTGCTACACTGGCGGAAAAGGGAAGGGCGGCCACCACGGACACGGCAATAAGAACAGAAAGGGTCCCGTCACTGGCGAAGTGATGAAGTGCCACGAGCGCGGCAGCGACGAGCATTTTCGGAGGAATTGCCCCAAGCTGCACCACCTGACTCAATCGGCAGCGTCGGCGTTGGCGGCGGCAGCCCCCTCGGTATCAACGCAGGACCAGTCGCTGGCGCCCGGGCACGCGTGCATGATGCAGCAGCACTTCTTTCACATAGGACATCAGTCTCAACATCATGAACCCCGCGAAGAACCAACTATATATGCCCCGACGGCGGAGTGGTCACAGATCATTTCGGACGGCATGGGCATCACAATGGATCACGGCATACATCAGGGGCGGCAGCTGCAGGAGCTGATGACCAGGAGCTACAGCCCCCAGCAGCCACAGCATGCGAGCACGGCAGAACATCACCACGCATCCATCGCACAGCAGCTGCGCATCCTCGACCAGACAGCGAATGACGGTGAACAGATATCGGCAAGATTCTTTCCCTGGTGGAACCTAGACGCAGAGTTGGACGGCAACAGCAGTTTCAACGCGGCGAGCCTGAACCACGAGCAGATCTTCTTCCTCAAGACGAAGTTGCCAGGCGAGGGGCGAGAAGGACTCCTGGTGGACACCGGCGCGCACGACAACTTGGTAGGCAACCTCTTCGCCAAGCGCATCCTGGACATCTTGCGCGAGCAGGGCGTGATGGGCCGGGTGGAGTGGCAGAAGCTTTCTAAGCCCATCAATGCGTCTGGCGTCGGCAAGGAGAGCCAGCTCGTCGAGTGGGCCATCGCGATTCCCCTGAAGGTCATCGCGAACGACGCGAAGAGCGACGCCACCTACACGGCCCCAGTCGTCCGCACTGAGGAAGACCCATCGACGGTGCCGGCATTGTGGGGCATCAAATCTATGCGGCACCAGCGGGCAGTTATCGACCTGGTCAACAACGAGATGCATCTGTGCGGACCGGGCCGAGTGCATGCGAATGCCCCTCATGGCACTTCCACGCTGAAGATCGAGAGCAGCATGAGCGGACATCCGCTGGCGCCTTGCACAGAGTTCGACAAGCGCAAGAAGGTCACCTTCAAGGCAGAGCCGCAGTGCGCGACGGAGCACCGGAGCGACACAGCGGCCAAGAGCTCCCGCGAGGGAGTCGGCCACTCGGCGGCGCGCCCCGCCATGGCTCCTCGGAAGGAGCAGGCCGCCAAGGAGACGCACGACAACATGCCGAACCTTTCTCTACCTCGACCTCCTTATGTGCATGATGATACTTTACCCGCAATTTGGATCATGGACGACGACGACGGCCAAAGGAGCCACGCATGCAGTCAGCGGTTCAAGGTCCAGCTCTACAACCACAGTTCACGGCGCGCCACGGCGAACAGCAGCAATCACATGCAAGCGTTATTTCATCAACACCGGCCACTTCTGTTGTGGATCTGTATTCCAGGACCTCCTACGACGGGACAGTTCACGAGATCGCGTCGACGGCGGCTTCAGCCTATCAGCCAGTTCAGCGAGCAACAGATACCCTTGCAACGATCTGTTCTTCTTGAAGCTAATAAGCGCGCGCGAGCAATCTGGCGACAACACTGCTTCAGCGACTTCATTGGCAAGCAGCACCAAAGCGGCGGCCTGAAGACTACCATGGTACGACTGCAAGATGGCAGCCACGCCTCGACCATCCGCCTGGAGGTCAACTTTGATTCGGGAGCTCCAGGCGTAGTCGACAGCACGGAGGCGCCGGCGGCAGTCGCGAGCCTTCTCGACTTGTTGTTCAAGACAGAGCATAAGCCATCACGAGAGCAAGTTGTTACACCGCCCACGGCTGCATCGGCATCAGCGCACTCCACTCCGAGGGCGACGGGCGACAGCAGCGGCGACGAGGTTATGTTCGACGTCTTCGGGCCAAAGAACGAGAACGGCGTCGGAAGTCACAGGCTATCGACCCCACACACGCTGCGCCAAGCAAGAATAAGTTCAAGGTGGAGCAACACTACGACGACTGCGGGCTCGACGACTCCAGTCTCAAGCAAGCTCTATGGACACTCAATCAGACGGACACCGACATCTACGA